TAAATATAAGGTAGCTTGTATATCAATGGTATAATAAGGATTTTCATACATTTCTAGGTACTATGTGCTCATGTGATGAAAATATTTTACTTGTTAAATAACATAAGATCTCTTATTGGAACTCTATTTCTATTCAAGGCATCCCTCTTGAATAGGAGTGCAAAAAATTGAAAAAGTAAACTTCTTTCCACTACAAAGCCATATTCAATTCACCTAAAAGTTATAATAATGTAGCCAAGTCCTTAATTGTTCATTACTTTACAAAATGATACTTGAAGTAATGATGAAAGGTTAAATTGACCACAGTAGTTAGATTTTCTTGGAACTAAAATAATTTGAAACTACTTTATGAAGAATTGAAATAGAGTAATAGCACAAGCATTTGTTATTACCAAAAGGTTTTTAGGTGATTTAAGGATAGAACCTTGGGTATCTGTATTTTTTTTAAAAAAAAAATATTTGGATCTTAAATTTAGGACTTGGGAGAGTAAATGGATAAATGGATGGATCATGGTTTTACACTATCCATTTAAATGGCATCCATTTAGATCCATTTATTAAATAGTTTTAATTGGATTGGCTCAATTTGATCCACTATCCATATATCCATTTTGTCACTTTTTTTTTTCAGAGATGATAACTATTGGCACAGACCTTACTAGATCAAAGGAGTGTTTTTGGCACAACTCTTGAAATTTTTTTTTCTGCAGGTGAGATTTGAACCCTCACCTACAGTCCATGGAGGGACTTAACCCTCCCTGATGGCCACTGAGCCAAGCTCAGTGGTTCCATTTTGCCACTTCTAGTTGTAACTTTTTCCTTGGAAAGGAGATTTTGTTAATTAAACTATATGATTTGAAATTCTCTGTCACAAAGTTTCCCTGTTTGATCTATGGTAAGCTGTTCAGAAAATCATTGATGATTTCTTCTTTTCCTACTATGGAGTCTTAGAAGCTTTTCAATTGACCAATAAATCTTAACTAGTGGAATCTGGTTCTTCAAATTTAAGGGGGGAAAAAAAAAACTAGTGGAATTTAATGGTCAAAAAGTCAAATGATAGTGAATGTAACTTCTGAGAATCAAAAAACCAATTTTGACGAATTTTGTGTTCAGTCTAACTATGTTATTCAAATGTTTTGATATATTTAATTGGTCTTACAATAAATAACTAAAAAATAATAATTGCAAACTGAAGAAGTAAAATATTTATGCTACTACATCGTCATTGACAAAACTAGAGTGACAAGAATTATTTATTTGATTTTTTATACTGCTCTCTTCTTAGTCGTCATTTCATTAATGGTCTAAAGGGCCACAATTTTGTCTTTTCTTAAAGGGAAGAATTAGAGACAAGTGATTTTCAAAACAAGGCAGAAATTAAGAAATGGAAAACAGCCTATAAAGAAAGTGACAACTGCAAAAGCGAGAGTCAGAATTGATGAAAATAGTTTCCTCTTATTTTATTACCCAACCACCACGCTTATCGGTACCCTTTTTCTTCAAGCAAAGTCAATAATGCAACACATATCATTGGTCTCGTGAATGCACATTGATAACGTCTTGTGTGTTTTTTTTTCTTTTTTGGATGATGAAAATATCTTTTTTTGAACTCCAAATTTTTATTATCTAGAACTACTTACACTCACTAGCTAGCATGATTAGGTACTTGTACGGAATTAGAGACTCAAGTTCCATACCGATAATCCGAAATCCTAAGACCTAATTAAGGTAACTCGAAATTTTTTTGTTTGTGATATTTTCAATTCATTACTTTATTTTTCATTTTCGACACATTTGATCTTTTACATTGATGAGATTGTGCCAATCAAATACAATTGAGGAATGGTGAAATATGCAAGTCCTGTGAACTTTCGTGGATACAAATTGTTAAGGATCAATTTTTCAATATTGGAAGTAACACTCAAGCGTAAAGGAATAGGGGGCGGGATTCCAAATAAGAGGAGAGCATTGGCTAGTAAGGTGGGAGGGATTATAAATAAGAGATCTTTGGTTCAAAACCTCCCGCTTATAAAACAAGAGTGAAAATTGCATAAAAGAATAAAACTATGATTTTCTTTGAATAAGTATAATGATTTTCTTGAAAAATGCATAAAGGAATAAAATTACAATTCTCTTTGAATAATTGTAAAGAGTTTCTTATATTTGGAGTGTAAAATCAATTCATTATATATGCAATAAACCGGCCTAATATAAATTCTTAAATCCCGTTACTCCTCTACTAGAATTTTTTTTTAAATAGATGGAAAAAATTTTTGGAAGGGAGATCTTCTTTTGATAGTTGTGTGTTTCCATTCCTTTTCTTATACTGCTGTCAATAAAATAAGAATTATTTTCCATAAACAAGTGTGATGGAAATTAATGTTACCTACTATACTCATTTTTTTCTCGTGAAAGATAAAGAGAGAAACTCAGAAAAATTTTTAAAAAAATTCTCCAATTTTTCGTGAATTTTATCTTTTAAAATTTGTGCAAGAATTCCCCTTACATTTTCCCTTTCTAAAAATTAAAAAAGAAATCCTTAAAAAATTCTTCAGAAAATCAAACAAGAATTAAATTTCAGTTTAAAAAACGTAAACAATATGTTTATGATGGCATAGTTTTCAAAATGATTAGTAGAAACAAACCTTGAGATTGCTGCCAGTTGAATTCTGTAAAATGAAAGGATGATGAAGAAGCTGCTCAGCGGTCCATCTTTTTGCCAGATCTTTCTGCAAACAACAAGAGATGAAGTCCCTGAACTCAGCTGATGCTGTTGAGAGATCACAAATATGACTTAGCTGTAAACCAGAAATTTCTGTGTCAAGAAGAAATGAGCCCAAATACAGCTCAAGAATGCATAACCCAAGGCTCCATAAATCCCCTGCAAAGCCATCGAGCGAGTTTGTCCTCTCAGGATGAAGATGCCTTTCTTCTGATGGCCTAAGAAGCTGCAAAATTCGCCCGAAGTACACAATTTTGACGCATCCCAGTTTAGTACTGGCGAGGAATATTCTTGAAGGCCTGATTTCTCCATGCACAATCTTTCTCTGATGGAGATGGTACAACGCCTCCAAAACTTGACGTGTGAGATCACTGAGAGAGCATTCATCAGCGATATGTGAGCCTCGGAGGGATTTGCTGGCAATGGATTCGCTTAAAACATGAATACCATCATTTTGAGCAGAAATTTCATAGCACTTGAGTACATTGGGATGATCCAGGCCCTGGATGATCCCAAACTCCTGTCGAAAATTTCTCCAGATGGATTCGTTGTGGCTGCCATGTAAAACTGTTAAAGTGTAGAGCTGTCCACTGGCACGGTGGCGAATTTTGTAGAGCGTAACTTCCTCATCTTTCTCAATCAGGCCTGTTTTTTCCAGTTCTGTTGATTTCAGCAACAGAGTTGTAGATAACATCTTCAGGTGGAGCTTTGTTGGATTGATTCTTGAGTATGGGAAGATTAATACTTGAAAAGGGCAATTATAGTTATTTAGTGTTGCTGTTAGTAGAGGAATTCGGATTTCTAGAAAATCTTATTTAAGTTGAAAACAAAACTCAGCTCGATTTTTTCTTAGTCTTCATTCAACAACTTCTGTTTAAAGCATGATAATCATTTAGTTTGAAAAATGAAAAAGATTGTCGAAGACTGAGAATAGAGGAATTGACCACGACTTTGCCCTTCCTTTGGTTTAGTGCCCCTGACGTAGGGGCAAAGTTTGAGTTTTGCAAATTTTACTTTATTTTTAATGCCTTTGTGGAAACTAAATCATTTCCCATATATTTGGTGCACTAATTGACTCGCAAGATACACTGAAAATTGCTGGTGAAAATTCTAATTCCTCTTAGTAAAATTAAAAAAAAATTATGGCAAAAAAAAAGTATATGTGCTATAACATATTTGTTGGACATATATTTTCCTAAGCAAGCTTGCCTCTGATGGATGGAAAAAGTATATGATGGACTTAATCATGATTTAAAGATTCTTGGTATTTCGTCCTATCTGGCTGATCCACAAAGGTCTTGATTTTCACAGGGTGTGAATGATATCCATTGCTTCATGTTTTGTTGTACTGGTGGTCTCTAAGGGTCCACAGATGGATCTCGCAAATATTTGGGTCCTATAGGGGTTCACATATTTGTCAGATGTTCCACCAAAGATCTGTATCAGAATTTGCATTCTCTGGTAGATCGTGAGACTGACATCCAGCACGGAAATTTCAGGTGAAAGGGGCAATGAGCAAACCAGCTTGACTGCGTGAAATCGTTAATCAAACAATATGAGAAAACTGAATAGGTTGGCTTGAATTGAATAATTTGGTATTTCAGGAAGGATTCTAACTGCTAATAGGGGGAATATGACTCTAATTCTTGCACCTAGAACACAGAGTATAAGTCTTACCCAGATCTTGAAATTTTGCTTGATCGTGGCCAAGGAGTCCTTTGTTACTTAAATTAACTGTTGAACAACAATAAATCTACAGCAGTCTAAACAAATGTGAAAGATTTGACATTGTGGATTTCGAATTATCTAGACAAACTGAAAAAGGTAGAGCCTATTGATGGTATTATCATGATCAGATGTACCTTTCCTGACTTTGACACTAACAGTTTTAACATACATCTGTTCTACCAATATTGGTAACATCCGTGACATTCAATCCAAACGCATCCCAGTTGAGATGTTTAATATCAGGTAAAAGAATTTTTTTTTTCAGTGTGGACTGAGACCGATGTGGAACGGTCCGGGCCGAGACCGCAACCGCGACCGCAACTTTGAACTGTGGATAGAAATCTTGATGGTTCATGTACCTAGTTTAGTTACAATGAAGATATTTTATCAGAAGAAATTGGAATCTAACTTATCAGTCAAACAACAATTATTGCATGGCGGCTTTCAATGCCAACATGGCATTTTCTGCCATAATCTGAGGTAATAATACAGTAGTTTTTAATTTTGCAACTAAAGATTATTATATTAAATGCCAGTGGAATTTCAGTATCTGGTGAACGTGGAGGAAACGTCTGAATAACTGTCTTGACTTCCCTAGAAGCATGGTTCAAAGAATTCCATTCCAAGTCTACATTGACCACGGAAAATGGACAACTTGGAACAGGAAATTTGAATTCCAGGCTAATAGAGCGTGCATAAATATGAAGGAAATGGTGCAATGATCAAGAGAGTTAAGATAAACCCTTTTAAAGTGAAAAGGGAAACCAATAAAAAGTAGTTATTTCAATTTACTACCAAATTAACCAATGGAAGCTGCATTTCAAGCTGGAATTGCACAAGCTTCCTTGCAAGTTCTCCTTGAGAGGATTACCGACTTTGCTGTGAAAGAAACAAGCCTGATTCTGGGAGTTGATGATGAGATCAGAAGGCTGCAGAGAACACTCCAGAGGATTAGAGCTATTCTGGATATTGTGGGGAACAATCAGCAAAGCCTGCTGAAGCACAGCAGCACTGAAGCATGGAAGATGTGGGCTGCTGATTTGGAGAAGCATTCATACAGTGCTGAGGACCTACTTGATGAAATTTCGCTGGATCTTTTGCAGGTCGGTGCTGATTATTTGAATGAAGCTAATGAAAGCTATCAGGTGCGTAACATGCTTTTGTCATCTTTTAAATTGTCAATGCCCCATGAGATTGGAAAGATAAGGAAAGAACTGGAAGATATTGCTACTGAAATGGATAGTCTTGTCTTGACTAAAATGTCTGAACTAGGGTCATATAAATTACCAGCTAAATCATGCCTTACGAGCAATTTTTTTGCCAAAAGCACTAGTTCACTGGTGGATGAAGGGTTTGTAGTTGGCAGAGAAAAGGACAAAGATGAGATCGTCAAGATGCTGTTGACAGCAAATGCCAATAGGAGCAATGTCTCTGTGATTCCTTTAGTTGGTATGGGGGGTATTGGCAAGACAACCCTTGCACAAATTGTCTACAATGACAATCAAGTAGTAAAGAACTTTGACTTGAGAGTGTGGATTTCAGTGTCTGTAAATTTTGATGTTATCGGGATCACCAAGTCAATTATTGAATCCCTGACAGGTAAAAAATGTAAGTTGTCAGACCTAGATCCCATTCAGTGTAAGCTTCAGAGTTTACTCTCCGGAAGGAAGTTTCTTCTAGTGCTAGATGACTACTGGACTGAGAAGTATGGGGATTGGGATTCTTTGACTTGCCCTTTTAGAGTTGGACTTAGAGGGAGCAAAGTTGTAGTAACCACTAGGAGTTCAGTAGTGGCATCAATTCTTGGTACATTTCCAGCATATCATCTGAAAGTTTTGAATGATAAGGACTGCTGGGAATTGATGAAACAAAGGGCGTTTGCAAATAAGGATCCTGAGGAGAATATGAATATGGAAGAAATGGGGAGAAAAATAGCAAAGAAATGCAGAGGCTTGCCTTTAGCAGCCCAAAGTCTTGGGGGCATGCTTCATTTTCAATTCGATGAGGAGGAGTGGGAATGCATCTTAAATAGTGAGCTATGGGACTTGCCACAAGAGAAAAATGATATCTTTTCATCATTACTGATTAGCTATCATTTTCTTCCTTCTCATTTGAAAAAATGTTTTGCATATTGCTCCATATTTCCAAGGAATCATGAGTTTGAAAGGGACAAGTTAGTCCTGCTATGGATGGCAGAAGGGTTCATCCAACCTAGAGGAGGAAAGCGACTGGAAGATGTTGGTAGTGATTATTTCAATGAACTGATTTGGAGGTCATTTTTACAATTTTCACATGTCAATCTGTACAACCAATCAATGTACAAAATGCATGACCTTGTTCACGGTATGGCGAGGTTAATTTCTGCTAATACGTGCTTTTGCTTGGCGGAGGACATATCGTATTGGCATCCAGCATTGGCCAATGCTCGTCATATGTCTCTGGGTCATGCAAATCTGCAACAGATAGTGTCAAAGCCCTCCACTTGGTGTAAGAACTTGCGTACATTGTTGCTAATGCCCAGAAACAGCAAAAGCACTGTGCAGCTTTCTTATGAGCTATTTTTGAAACTACGCTTCCTAAGAGCGTTGGACTTGTGTTGCATGGACATCTATGAGATTCCTGATTCAATTGAATACTTGAAACATCTTCGCTTTCTTAACCTCTCCGAGAATCACATCCAAAACTTACCTGAATCCATCACAAACATCCTTGGTTTACAAACCCTCGTGCTAAAAAATTGTTTTGAGTTCCTTGAACTTCCAGCAAACTTGAAGAAGCTTACTAACCTACGACATCTTGACCTGGATATAAAGCATCAGTTGAACTACATGCCATCAGATCTTGGAAATTTAGTCAATCTTCAAACCATGAATGCATTCATCGTTGGAAAAGGTAAAGGATGTGGTATAGGACAGTTGGGTAATATGAGATTCCTCAGGGGATCAATTTGCATTACGAATCTGGAAAATGTGCTCAGTGTGATGGAGGCAAACGAGGCAAATTTATGCATGAAGCCATTCCTAGAAAGTCTTCAGTTGGAATGGAATTATTCTGGTGATCGAATAGATCAACAAGAAGTACTTGCTGGCCTTCAACCACATCCAAATCTCAAGGAGCTAGCAATAACAAATTATGGTGGCTTTATGTTTCCTAGTTGGCTAGGTGGTCCGCTGCTCAAGCTCAGAACTATTCACATCCGAAGCTGCCAATACTGCTCTGTCCTCCCATCTCTTGGGCAACTTCCACTCCTCAAGCATCTTTGTATTGAAAATTTGTCAAGTTTAGCAAGTATTGACGATCATTTTTGTGGCTTTGGTCCTACTAAAGGTTTTCGTTCTTTAGAGTTGCTAATCTTTCAAAACATGCCAAATTTGATGGAATGGAAAGGATTAGATGGACACGATATGCCTCTCCTCCGAGAACTCACCTTTATAAACTGCCCAAGACTAACTAGTCTACCATCACTCCACAACCTGAGTTTCCTCCATAACTTGAACATCAGCCACTGCCCAAAACTTCAAGCATTACCAGAGCAAGGATTGCCAGTTTCTCTCCAAATCCTAATCATTTTGGAAAGTGCCATTATCAAAGAAAGATGCAGAGTTGAAGAAGGTGAAGATTGGTACAAGATAAAGAGGATCCCCAAGATAGAGATCGATTATGTACAGATTCCCATGGTAGCATGACAAGGTTAGTGGCTGCATTACCTCTAGATCCACTGTACTTTGAGGTTGTATTCTGATTACTACTGACAACAAAATAAAGTAGACGAAGCACATTTATTTTGTGGCTACAAAATGCATAATAACTTTCTTTGTCCTTTCATTGTGCTTGTCTAGAACTGTTCTTACTATGAGTCTCGATGTGCTTGCCATCACCACCGAGATCCAGCAACTAAAAGAGTCAGCCAATTCATGAAAGATGTGCATAATATTGTGCTCATTTTTGCTCACTAATGAAGCATCCTCAGTAAGTGGATTTTCATTTCATTGATTTCTTTTAGGGTTAAAACAACTTCAGAATTGTACGGGTAAAAATTTACGCATATGGTATTTGATCACTTGTTAATTATTTAGTAAACTTCACGAGGAATGGACAATGTATCCAGATCATATGCATTAATAATTTTTCCTGATTTTACAGCATAGAATTTCCACTACTCGTTGTCATTAAAAATCTACAAGTATTATCATTAGAAATCTATCTCATTTACAGATCTCTGATTTTCATGCTTATTTCCTTCCAAGTCACATGATTAGTAAGTGTTCTCCTTGAGGTCATACAATACAAGAGGAACAATAAATACTCAATTTAACAGTTCTCCACATTGGAGGCCCTTATAAATGTCCTGAATCTAGTAATGAACTTGATTTAATGCAGGTCAGTCGGAACTGAATTGCATAAAGGAAAACATGACAGTAGCTTAACCATCATCATGACTGAAAACAGGGAAACGTCTGGTACATTAGCTTTCAGAGGCAGCCGCTCTGACATCATGAAATGCTACCTTCAAGCTTTAAAGCCATTGTCAACCTTGAAGCTATGTGTAAAGAGCAGCTCGTGTTTCACTGTTAACAGCAGTATCCAGCTATGTTAGAACAGACAAATCAGAGTTCCAAAGATGCTGCTACTTTTTGTGGGCATAGTGTGAATTACCTCCGAATCTGTTCCATTAACTCAGATTCAGTGGGGGACAAGTCTTCCATTATACATCCCTGAATTATGCATGTCAAAGCCACAACTACCTGTGATCAAATCATCAAATACACCATTAGGTTAGAGCAGTTTCTTGCTGCATGTAGCTTTTGCAATGCAAAGTTTGTAGCAGATATTTTGGTTTTGATGTTTCTGAAACTATCCAGTTTCAAAATGTTGTCTAAGCTTGAAATGAAGGAGTCATTTTTCAAGTTTTCAAGTTCTCAGATATTTCAGTTAAACTTGATCAGAGAAGTAGTGTCTCAAATGCAAGTTATTCCAGGGATATTACCCATGGCGAACTTGCTTACAGAAGGTAATACTCAATGCACTCTTTCCAATCTAAAACCCCCTAGCTCCCGTAGTGTGCCCCCTCTAATACTTCACAAAGTGTGATCAACTTTAATTTCAAATCTTGAAGAAGTTTGAACAACTCTAGAGGACCTGCTTCTTATATCATTTTCCATATCGTGGTTGAACATTTGCCATTTTACTGTACATCTTCATTCAAGGATAATTATTCAGAATCTATGCCACAACGTCCATAGAATTACTTGATTATTTGAATTCTTCCATGCCTCCTTGCACTTCTCAAAATACAAAATTCTGCTTGAGACCTGATTTATATGGACTCCAATGTCATTCAGAATTTACAACTTATTCGTACGAAGAAGAGCAGCCACATTCATGCACATCCATTACATTTTAAAAAAAAAAAAGCCTAAACAGCTAAGAGGGTACACACGGCTTTTAAAAAAAGGCGCATATATGAAATAGGACTGACTGAAGTTCACCATGAGCAACAACATTTATGGTATTTAGGCATTAACCTTCTTTATTCAGGTATTTGGACTTAACAGGAATTTTCTAGGCTGCTAATATGTTACTTTCCATGTTGACATGAAACTGGCTAATATCTTATCACCTTCAAGGTTAGAAATTATACCTTATTTATAGAGCATCTCCTATGTGGATCCCAGCACAAACATTTTTCTGTCAACTGTACCATCCAATAGAGCTGGTGAAGGTCATGAGAATCTTGCAATGCAGGGTCTATTAACTCATGAAACCTTTTTTCTCTCAATAGTGGTCTTGCCTGTTAGAAAAGAAAACAAGTTCACTGATAAGGTTGCTGGTCTACAGAGCTATTACAACATTTTTCTAATATAGTGCACCGCTGGCTGTCAGGTAATTCAAGATTTGAACAAAATCTCTGTGACATAGCAAGAGAAATAAAATGGCTGGCTACCCATCTCAAGAAGCTCTGACCATTAGTTTCATCTATGCTCTTTCGACCTGTGACCAACTCTAGAAGAACCACTCCCAAGGAATAAACATCTGCTTTACTTTTGCAAATTCCACTTTCTTCACATTCTGGTGCCATGTATTCGAAAGTCTTCAGTACCCTAGCTTCATATGATTGGTTTGAGGACTCGTACTGATTTTTTGCCAGTCCAAAGTTAACCAGCTGTCCAAAGTAAAAGAACAGTGCATAAAAGATTGCCATGTTCTTGTCAGCCAATCAAGCATAGTTCAAATCATTGGCTTTTAACAAACTAATCTTACCAAGGGCTGGTGGTCATGGGTTAAGAGGATGTTGCTTGGCCTCATGATTCCATAAATCTTTAGACTATGCAAATATTCTAATGCTTTTGCAGCTCCAAGTGCTATCTTTACTCTTCTTTCCCATGTCAATTCACAGCTTTTGTCTGCAGGAACATCTATCTTGATTAGTTGTACTGAAACTAAAAATAGCAAATAACTATTTGAAGTTATTGTAACTTTACTTGATAGATGTCGGTTGAGGGAGCCATTACAAATATATTCATAGACCAGTAGCCTGTGTGATCCTACCGAACATGATCCTAATAGCATGGCGACATTTTCATGTCTAGCCTTCCCCAGCTTCTGAACCAGTTCGATAAACTCATTTTCTTCTATGGTTGGTGAAGTGTGTTCCCTTATAACAATCCTCTGTCCATCACTCAGCGTACCTTCATAGAACTTCCAACGGCGATCAGCTAATAAATTTTTTGCAGAAAAGTTGCTCGTAGTAAATTGCAGCTCACAGTAACTGAATTTCCTTGTATGTCCAATTTCTGCTCTTCTAGTCTTGCATAATGAACAGAGATAACACTCAGTTATGTCTTCTTGCTGTCCCCCTGCATTTGCCTCGGGTGAATTGCTTCTTTTTATCATTGTATTTTAGGTTCAATTAAACCTTCTTAGACTAAAAAAATGTGGTTGCTGGAGACTTACTTATACAAGCTTTCTGGTTCCTATTGCTTTGCCCAACTTCAGTTGCCTTGGGTTCTCTCATATACTTAATGCTGTTATCACGTTTGATTCTCAATATTCCACAAGACAAATTGTCCAGAAAGTACTTTTGAAACTTTTTGAGGTGCCTGTTGATTTTGAAGAAACATGGAAATTATGAGATTATTCCAGACATGGATGACACTATAATTTTCTTCTCCAAATTCATGGTTAATGACAATCATGATGGCCTGCAAATCAAACATATCGAGCTCATCTCAACTAATGTTTAGGAGTATAATACTTGAGAAAATCTATTTAAGGTCACACCAATGGCTTTATCTGATTGGGAATATCCAGCTGCGATTGAAAGACCATTAACATGTGCAGAAGATCTGAACTTTTAATCACAAAATGGCTAACCAGCAAAGTTTCTGGTGGATCCTTTACTTTATTTATCATTAGTCTCAGACGTTGTGGATAAATTGATCATTGGGTATTAAAGACAGACCAAAAAAATACTCAGTTCTGTAGTTCAACATCCACATTCATAGTTAAGATTATTGTGTCAGATGCTCAGGATTCATGAAGGGAATTTTACATCACTTTCTTCCAAGAGGATGGAACAGGAAATTCAATGAGGCATAAATGTTTGTGAGATGCCATTTCCTAGCATATGGCATTAAGAGACAGGGCTGAGTGGATATCCGCTATTATGACTTGATACCATAAACTGATTTTGATCTGAAGATCTGAAAGGTATCTATACCTTGTGTATCCAATTCTTATTTCAGTCCTGAAACCAACATTTATTTATCAAAGTTGGCATACTGGCCTCCTTGCAATGAAGGAAAGAGGGAGGAAATTCAGGTTACTACTTGTCAAGGATTTTTATCCGAATACCATCTTTTATGATCTTGGCCATCTTCATTTTTGCTTCCTTTAGCAGAAGTGATAGAGGGATAGACGGTACTACCTGTCAAGTATCACCATGGTGGCCTCAAATTTCTTGGCTGTATCCACTACTATCTCCTTCAGTGAGCCTGCATCCACCGCTAGTTCAAGTTCTACCTACACACGTTGAATTGCATCATTTACAGGACAATTTATACTGCAAACCATATTCATGGTATGTTATCTATATGGCAACACAGCCTATTGCAGCTCAGAGAGATTACGGTTCTTGTCAATTTTCATTTCTTCTCTTATAGGCAGAAAGACAGGAAAAGACATGATATTGATTTGACTAAATAGGTGAAGTCATAGAAAATGGAAAGAAAATTAGTTATATGTTCTGCAGTCAAAATGTTTATGCATGGACACTAAATGTGGTGGTGATGCAACAGATGAAAGTTACACGAGGAAGAGGTACCTGTTTCTGTTCAGCCAGCATACGTACTTCTGTAATTTTTGCACTGTTTAAAGATTCTTTCTGCAATTGAATTTCTTTCATCATGTCATTCTGTTTCTTCCTATGTGTGGCACTTGAGTGCAGTTTGCTTTTGTTCCTTGCTGCAAACCACAGAAAACACAAAAGGGAACCATAAGAACTAAGATTTTTAAAGGAACACGAAGAATACATGACACCAAATGCATAATATTCTGAGAATGATTAATTGTATCAGAATACACAACATGAACCTGTCAAATTTTTGCTGTACGAGTCTATGTTGTGACCCTGCTGAAAAAGCTTAAAGCAGTTTCATGATATCAGATTTTCAGGAAACATATATGAAAGATTTTCTACTTCACTAAAAATTGCAGATACGCGCTTCCTCCAAAGTTGTTTGTTTTTCACTTTTACTTCAGAACAACAAAAATGGCCTTCTCTATTTTAGAAAAGAAATTAAGCTTTGACGTGTCGAAATGGAGCGGAGAACTTAACTGGCTCAAAAGTGAATATAAGAAAATCAAATTTTCATCTCAACCAATTATCCTGGATATTGCATTTGCTAGAAATTTCCGAGTTCCTATATTGATTCTTCCATAACCAGTGATTCTACTCAGTATACAATAACAGAACTAAAAGCATTCCCCCTGGAAGAAATACTAATGCTAGTAGCAAAACTGCATCACATGCTCACTTTCCACAATGAAATTTTCAAACACCTGCAGGAACTCTCACCTAATAACATGCATCCAGTACTAGAGCATGTAGCTTCGGTCCTGAATGGCTGAACAATTCGAAGAAGCCTGATCTTGTCACCAATTTTCAGTGGAAAATTTCTGAGAGCAAGTGTGACAGTTTCAATACCACAAGGCTCCACTGATGCATCTTGAATCACCAAAATCTTTTGAGCTTCACTGGACATGTTTCTGTTACAAAAGCCCCGCAAACCAAAACATCAGTTATAAACATGTTTTACTCCTTTGAGTACAACACTTAATTCATGTTTAACACTTCTACTTCAGAACATGAGATTAACATGCTATGTTGAGAGGTAGACTTTCTAGCATTTTAAAGTGACAGGTCATGCCTTACTGATGCGTATACCCAGTAGTAATTCCTAAACCAGTAATGCATTACTATCTCCTCTAAAATGTTATTTCAAGGAAAAATAAAAAAGATACATCACATGTTTATGCATTTAATCTACCCTAGTTTTTGCCATATTCAACCTCGTCACACCATCAAAAATATGATGATGATAGAAAGTGCAGATACTAAGAATTGTATACGGGTCATACTTACACATAACAGATGTCACGGTTTAATAAAATAACTTACCTAAACAAGAAAGCTGTGGAAATGCAACAACTTATATATACTGGTGCGAGAGTTTGGTTCAGGATAAGGAATGGGAACAATCATTTCTTCATTTTATGTATAGCAAAGCCCACTACTTGCTACAATACAATTCTTTTTCTTGTTAGCTCTATGCTATCCGATTTTTAATCCAAATTCTTTTGGAATTTTATTGCAAGACAAGTCCAAGAACTTGGTCGCGTTAATAACAAGTCAAAAGTCCTTTCAGCATTTTTGTTCATCACAATGTCAACTAATATTCTTCCAGAATATTACTTCATCCATGTGCTTAGTTTGCTAGTTCCAATGTTCCTTTATCTTTTTGGATTTACTTTGCCCTTTTCTTTCCTTCTATGGCTGTTCATACAATTATTTTAAAGACAAAAACGTGACATTCTTGAATTTTGTATTTCTTTGTTGTTATTTGCT